CAGGCTTTTTTGGTGTACTTAATTCGAGACGCCATCTTGTTTATTTTCCCTATTACTGTAATTTTTTTGGTCTACTAACAAGCATTTTAACTGTTATGAATGTCCCGTTCTGATTGGTTTGGAACGCGTGGTTTATGAGAGCACATTGCACGCGCGCGCACTTTCCGTTGCGTCATTCCTATCTACGCGCGGAGTGCTTCTCGACACTTCTCGAGTGTTCTGCCAACCCCCAAGTGCTTTATGATTGCACACAGCACGCKCGCGCGTTTTCTATTTCTTCATTTTCCCCGTCACAMACCAAATATTCTCCTACAGCCCATGCTCCAAGCTCTTGAATTCTAGACGTCATCAATATTTACAACAGCAATGAACCAGTTTGGTGTATATATAGTACCTGTATTACAATCTTTAATTTCGCTGAATAAATCACTCACATTTCATTTCCAAATTTCTCTCAGCGATGTAATCGATAAAATTTTTACATTAATCTGGAGAACAGTGTTGATCTTTCATCCCGAGTATGTTCCAAGTGTGGACTAAAGATAAGAAACTCTGRAAAACTCGTCTCTCAATATGCATGCAGACGAGTAAATCATGGAAACTTGTTCTCACTAATATCTTTTAAACTAGCGTCTTTTGCCTTGAATCCCAAGACTTTTGAGTTTGATGGACGGGGACTGTCTTATCTTGACATCGCCTTTTGTGTAATGGGTCAATCAGAATTGTACGTGGAAAGAACAATACGCGACTTGAAGTGTTAAGGCGGCATTCCCTCTATTTTGGGCTCTATTTTCCTTTTGTTCTTCCCTCCCCAGTCCCCTCTCCCAGGGACTTTTGACTCGTAGCCAATCTCCCTCGGCCAATCGCGTCAGTTGTTGGCTGTATTGGCTAACAAGCTGAGTTTGAGTTTTAGTTAAGTCTGAATACATATTAATYTCGGCTTTCAAATTTGGGGATTTCTGCACACATGTCATGATCAAGGATTAAGAGGTCAAAAGGGTAACTTTTTCTAAACACCTTGGTGTTTTAGATCAAAATCTAAATTGGGACTTACATATTGAAAAATTATGGAAGAAAGTCGGCTCTGCAATTAATGGTTTGAAACAAGCCAGAGTTTTTGTACTTCTTGATACGTTAATTAGTCATTTACATATTCTTACATTTGGCCAGATATAGACGACTTGCATTAAGAGGTCACGTGACCAAATYCGCTAATGTGGCTGGCATTCTACAGGATTTTAGCTATGCGAGAATGTAAAAAAAAAGATGGCGGATTCGGATAGTATTCTTTTTTGTTTCGGCCCTGTACATAGCGCGTACAGTAATGCTCATGAGCCAAAATATTTTTCACTTTGTACTCTGCTCTTTGCGCTGCTCGATCATTGTTTATATCTATTGTCGGATCTCTCATTTGTTCGGCGAGATGTTGTGTATGTACGTTGCCCTGTTTTTCCCCAAAACACTACGATATTTCAAAGCGAGAACCACTAAAATCTTCAAAAAACTTAATTACGTGTGTTTCGTCCAAGAGAATTTCATAACAAATGTTTCCATCGAAATTTCCATAAGACTTTGCAGCGTGRAAGCGTACCGCGAGATCCCTCTGGTCTGCCATTTTCAAAATACAAGAGGCCCAATCATTGCCACAGCAAGACCAAAATTCTTTTCAGCAATGCCACACAATAGATAGATAACGGGCCGAAACTTCATCGCTTTTGAAGCGATATAGGCTTGTTTCGTGATAAGAAGAGAAAAAATATGGTATTTTTTGCGATACCTAGAAGTTCTAGTCTTGTTTTGCCGGCTTGATGACCTCAAAACAACGAYTTTTTGTCAGAAACATTTCCAGTATTTTTCAACTTCATTCTTCTTGAAAAATGCATTTTTCTTTTAAGAAATATATTTTTGATAGATACCTTAAGTAGATTTTTACTATCAATTCGCCAGGAAGAGGAAAAATGTGGTATGTTTTGAGGTCACGAATCCAGCGAAACAAGACTAAACATCGGTCTTCACATCGTATCGCCAAAAATACCATATTTTTTCTCTTATTGGCGAGTTAATAGCGAAAATCTACTTTAGATATCTACTAAGAATATATTTCTTGCAAGGAAAGGGGATATTTATCCGTTATTTAGTGCGCTAACAGTTACCTTTTATCAGAAAAAAAAACAAAAAAAAACAAAAAAAAGGCAAAAAACAAACAAACAAACAAAAACAAAAACAAAAACAAAAACAAAACAAACAAAAACAAACTACCCGAATCCGCCAACTTATTTTACATTCTCGCATAACTAAAATACTGGTCTATTGGCTGGCTACCGTCGCGTTTCACCCAACGCTGGAATTTGCTTCTACACTACGCACTACTTACATCACTATATACTAAATTCAACACGTCACTTTCTGCAGCAAAGACGAAAACCTACTGAAAATACGAAGTTTAATTTTGATATTCCTTCTTAATACAATGAAAGAAAACAAAGGTTTGAATTTTCAATTAATTGTAATTAGTTTATCCAACTTTTGAACTCAAGAAACCCGTTGAAATAAGTCATTTCGAGGGGCCTGAATATGCAAATATATATTAGCTTATTCTTGAAATTCTTGCTATTGTTGGAAGGTTAAGCTTATTTACTTTGGTTTTAATTTCAAGT